TTTTGTTCAGATTTTATGGGGATATTTTAGTAATTTGAAATTTAATAAAGTGTATTTTTCAAAACTACTAAAAAGGGAGGTATTTTTCAAATTTAAAAAGTCAAAAAAGCCATTTTTCCAAATTTTCTCTTTTCAATTTGTGTTTTTGAATTATTATTTTTGTAACATCAATTATTTTTGAAAATTTATAACAGTGAAAAAATACACAATTTTTTTCGGATATCCATTTTTTGTTGTTGGAATTTTAAGAAACCAGAAGCCAAAGCCAATTTCATTTTTAAACCAAATTATAGTAAAATGCCATTCTACAAAAGAAATGTATCTATTTGAAAAATATTAGATTTAGTAATTAATTAGTTATTATCTTTTAAAAAAAAAACACAACTTGAAACAAAAGAGAGATTATTGAAACACATACTCTTTTTTTTTTAAGTATTGAAACACATACTCATGAGCATCAAATTCACGTATGCATGAAAATTTATGAAAACAAAGAGGTAAAATGGGCTTTGAGATTTTCATCAGGATGACCAAATCCATCACCTTCCTTGTAGAACAAATTGATCACACGTGCAGTATTGAAGACTCGCACTAGAATCTGTCGTGGGACATTAGACGATGCAATAAAAAACTCATCCATCATTATCTCATGATGATCTTTAATCATCTTTCTCAATTCTCTAACAGCTTCTTCTTGACTAACAGAATGTTGCTTCATGAAGCAGTTCAGTCCATTCGCAACTTCTCCTCTCTCTAACTCTTCCTCAAACGTGGTTATGTCGTTTATCAGACGAAACACAACATTGAAAGCTAAGATCATTTTGGGTCTTGAAGCAAACCACTCGTACATTATCTTCTCATCACAATCTTCCATCCCTAGAAAGCTGTATATTGCCATGTCATCCATTGCCCCTGTCACGATTCCAACCTCCATGTACTCCTCAAAGCTTGGGACGTGACCTGCGCGTGCCCATTTGGCTATCTCTAGATATCCTTTCTTCGTCAAGCTCTTTATCTATGTTTTTCATTATAAACATACATTAGATTTTGATTGACTTATCATTAGATCATTGTCCTAGAACAAACAATGAAGAACTATTCCTAGCACAAGAATCACATAGATGACCAATTCATTTTGAGAAATTTCAAAAAATGTCACTTTTCTAGTGCCACTTTACAAAAATACCAATTTTTTATAATCTTTGCAAAAATGCCACTTTTTCAAAATTATTTATTCATTATATCATTTATGTTTGGGTTAACTATGTTGTATTAGGGTTTAGTTTTGAGGGTTTAAGGGGTTTTAGGGGTCAAAAGATTTTTTAGGGTTTAGAATTTTAAGATTTAGGTTCTAAAAATCATAATTAGT